TAAACTTCCATTTCTTAACAGCGTCTTTCTCAGTTGAAATTGTTAGCTGGAAGTATTTAGAGATTTTATAGCCTCCCTCCATTTTTGTCAGAGTGAATTAATCTTAATGTTAAATGTTCAAATAGCTGCTTGAAGGAATCCATGCGTATTGAATGTAGAGAGAACAATCACAACCTGAAAGAGTAGAAGGATCAGAGTATTTGTTCACCTGTAACTAACTGTAGGCCTAAACTACTGCACAAAAATAGTAAGTTATGCTTTCAAATGTGCAGAAATATATTATATTTAACTTTATACCATGTAGAGGCTGTCAGCTTCTGCTCACTTAGTGAGTCATTAAAACATACAATTTAACCAGGGGTGCCTACATTTTTGCATGCAACTACAGTTTGAAGGAAACTTTTGCCACATATATGTTGTATGTCTTATGCTCAGGTGTATCAAAATATCTCCTCGACCTCTCCTTTATAATGTCAGAAAACACTGCTAGCCAAATGTTCAGTTGATCATACATCCAGGTGTCAGAGCTCCTTTTAAAAAACTTGCGATGTTGTAGAACTCTTTAAAGATGCATCTGTTCTTCAAACTACTGATCTTTAAGTAGAATGGTTGCTGTTCTCTAAGTACTGTATTCCTAACCTGTGCATATAGCTTGGGAAGGAAATACTAGTGAATTTGATGAGATTCTTGAGATCAGTGCTGCTGGAGCTTTGAGAAATGAGAACCCATATACGTGGATTGAGAAAATTGGAATTAACATATATGGCAAGTTCTAGTTAAGAGACTAAAAATTAAAAATGGCAAAATATGGTCTGAAAATTGAAATCCTAATATACTGAGACTGAGACTTATCTGAGGTAATCATATGTAAGTATTATTTAAGTCCTGAATGTTTGTAAGCTTTTTGTTTTTTATTGAGAATAAAATTTAACAAGTACTAAAAAAAAAAGAGCAGAAAGTTTAAAAAAGGAAATAACTTAAGCATATTATATTTCCTATAGTGATAATATTCAGCTAAGTTTTTACGTATGCAATACTGATCAGTCTTACTGTTGCATCAGTACAGACCAGACCCACTTTATAAACAGGAAGTGAACCCATGTTTTAAATCTGGGGTTGAACTGTTTTTCCAACATTGAGTAATTCTTTGGATGGCCCTCATGCTTGATAAACCTATAATTCTTGATATAGTGGTAAGTTCCCCATTTTGAGTATATTCCCTTCTTTAAATCATATTGAACTTTATAACACCATATTAACAGAGTTTTTGATATTAAATCGAAACAAATCAGTACTGGGACAAGCCCCTATTATATGAATAACTGTCCTCTCAGCCATTTAATATTTCCAGCAATGTGACATTGACAACTACTCCTTTTTAAACTTTTCTGGAGTGTCTTAAATGTTAAAGAAACTGATTTGTTGCATTAGCCTCATCTAGGGATCATAAGAAGCATACTTCCTTCTTAAAGGATATTAACAATTGATTCGTTAATATTGGATTTTTCAACTCTTTATTTAAGTTGAATAATGCTATTTATTGCAAATAGCTAATATCTACTGTAGTGTTTATTAAAAATACTGTAGATTTAAAATCATCCAAAACACATTCCAGTACTGACAGTATTTCTGAAATTTTAAACATCCTAACGCATCTGGATGAGATTGTGAAATCAGCATCTACAGACTGTGCCTTGCAACTTTTAATGCGAGAGATACAGTAGAGCTGTTGCTAAAAGGGACCCAGCTCCTGCCACATTATTACAGAAGTTAAATAGTAGCTTTCTAATTGTGTTCATAGTGTGTGTGCATTTTCAAACTTATTTATGTTGCATAGAAAAATGTAAGTAAAAATATATGCCCAGGGATAAAGTTGAAAGTCTGGAAATTTCAAAGTCCTGTTATAATATGATAGCCATTATTACAAAAATAAAATATAGGGGCTTGTCTTTCCCACAGAAATATTTTCATAACAGTCTGTTTAAAATAAGTTCTATGTATTTCTCTAAGGGGACCCTTAAATGTATCAATTGTAGATATAATTTTCATTGTACAATTTTTTTTTACTGTAAACCTACCAGCATTTTAACCACATATTTATGTCAATTTTTATCTAAGAAAATTGATGTATTAAATTACAAATGAGGATTTCCTTGGAATAATTTTTCTTAGCTAAAACAAATCAAACAAAAAGTGAAATCCAATATTATAGAAATACCCATAGAAATATTAGAACCTGTAACTGAATAACCTGAATAACTATAAATTACCAATTTATTGCTCAAGATCAGTGCATTTTCATGTAACAATATATAATTATCAGCAGCATGTAACAGTTTGTGTTCAGCTTTTGCCACTATTATATCCCAAATGTCTTCCATTTAATAAGGCAAGCTAGTGGTTCTGATATCAAATTAAAAATAAAAGATTAAAAGACATTCTTGAGGGGTATTACAAATTATCTAAAAAGATAAAGAGATATTTCCATTTGTAATAACTCTAGTCAGCTGCACCTTTATCTCTATAAGATTTAACATATGTCATTAAATCTATGAAAACAGGAAAACAAAATTTTGTTTTCTGCTTACTGTCCAAGCTGTCGTCCAATTTGGTTGATAAATATTGATGCAAAACTACTGACAGCAACTTTGGCATATAGATTATAGACAATATTATTTTTGATTATGTATCCTACACATTCCAGTTTTATAAAAGATCCTCAAGTATTTGATAAAATTAGATTAGAGATGGACATTTTGAATGTACATTTTAAAAAATTGAAAGCAGAGGTGGTCTCACTGGATGCAGAAAATACCTTAAATATGGAACTGTAGAAATTTTGAAAGAAATTGACTCTAAATATAAATTTTATTTTGTATTAATTGGAACATTGCATGGTATGCTATTCTTTCTGAAAGAGTTATTATAATTTTACAGATGGAAATATCTCTTCATCTTTATTATTATTAATTTAATAATTAACCTGAGGTTTACAGCCTTTATTGAGCACGTTTTGCAAAGGATAAAGCACATTATTCAGTGAAAGTCCTGTGGATTGTGATTAGAGCAGTTGCTTTGTGTGCAGAAAGTTTTCACTATCTCCAAAAAAGGCTGAGATTGGGAATGACTGCTGCCTGAAATCCTAGAATGCTGTTGCTAATCAGGGTAAACCAGGATTGAAATTAGAAGGATTAAAGGTCTAACTTGCTTTAACACTATTTCTAGTTTTCCTAGGTGAAATTCCTGGATCCTAGCCTCCTCAATATTTGTACTCTCCAGACATGTCAAGGCCCAGAATTCTCTAATCAGCATGTCTATGGCAAAAATTCTGGGAACTGAAGTCTGGACAGCCTTCCAGGACAGGGGAAATACGTTCTAGGTATCTGCAGTCAGAGCACCAACATGCACCCTTTTAAATTGTTTCATTATGGGCAGTCCTAGGATTTAAAGTTGGCTGTAGGCTGTTACATTTTAAACAATCCTTGCTACCACTGTAGCAAACTAATTATAATTTCGGTTATCTTTGGGGAGCATTGATGCTCCACGTATCATTGTACGGGATCTGCCTATTGTTTTTTATGGTGACAAATAATGTTTAAGAGTATTTGCTGCAATGGCAGCAGAGCAGTTGGAGGATGAATGTGGATGTAGTGCAGCGAATTTGGTTGGTAAATGACAGTGCAATTTGCCAGGTGACTCACTGTGACCTATAGTAGGATTGGTCCTACCTTCAGTGTTATTTTTAAAAATCTTATTTTAGTAGTAAATGAGTTTTTGCTTGTAAGCTGCAGTTTTTTTGTGCCATAAATGAGCACTGGGGCTGCAGGTAGTTCTTGACTTATGACCATTTGTTTAATGACTGTTCAAAATTACATTGGCACTGAAAAAAGTGGCTTATGACCCGTCCTCGTACTTATGACCGTCACAGCATCCCCGTGGTCACCTGATCAAAATTCAGCCACTTGGTAGCCAGCATGTATTTATGATGGTTACAGTGTCCTGGGGTCACATGATCACCATTTGCGACCTTTCCAGGCAGCTTCTGACAAGCAACGCCAATGGGGGAAGCCGGATTCGCTTAATGACCATGATGATTCACTTAACGATCATGGCAAAAAAGGTGGTAAAATCGAGCGCAACTCACTTAATGACTGCATTGGTTAGTGATGGAAGTTTCGGTCCCAGTTGTGGTTGTAAGTCAAAGACTACCTGTAGTCAATTCTGTATATTCAAATAAATTATGTGGTGCTTGAAAATGATGACTGAGAAGACTGTGTGTCAAATATGAAACAGTTTGGGAACTGGATGGAACTGGAAGGACCTCTGGGAAGGATCACATGAGGAAAGATATCTATATATGATTAAAGAATGATGTTTGCTTAGGTATAGTTTATGCATACTTGATATATTTAATGAAGACTACATGAGCAAATACAGATTTTCTCTTTATTGAGTGTTATTTTTCTTCTTTTTTAAAGCTTCTCCTCTCTTGCTTTTTGCAAACCGCCGAGATGTCAGATTGGTGGATGCTGGTGGAGTGAAGATGGAAGCAACAGTTGTGGTCAGTGGCTTAGAAGACGCTGCTGCAGTTGACTTCCTCTACTCACAAAGTGTTATTTACTGGACAGATGTGAGTGAAGAAGCCATCAAACAGACTTATTTTAACCAAACTGGGAATCTTGTACAGAATGTCATTGTTTCAGGATTGCTTTCTCCAGATGGCCTGGCATGTGACTGGATTGGGAAAAAATTGTACTGGACTGACTCAGAAACAAATAGGATTGAGGTTGCTAATCTCAATGGAACATCTAGGAAGGTTCTCTTCTGGCAAGATCTTGACCAGCCAAGAGCAATTGCCCTGGATCCAGCTCATGGGTAAGCATCCTTTCTTTAAATTTTCGCATTCATTTGCAGGATCTTGGTTGTTTTCTTAGAATGTTTTCTCTCTCCAAACAAAATATAATCTCTTCTTACAAATTCTGTTTTCTCAAGGTATTTTTCTCTGAACATATGTTTACATTTAAATAAAACATGGGATGAGGAATGGCAAGCCATATAACAGCACCATGACTAATGTGCCAAACAAAACATTAAATAAGTCTCATTTTTCCAGCTTAGAATTCTCTAAACCCTAACATTATAAAGTTTTAATCTATAATTAATGTGGCTAGTTAAAGAAATTTAGGGAGGTTGCCTGTTGAAATGCATGATAGATTCAGTTTTGCAAATCTGTATCCTGCTGAATCCTAATAAGTTCTCAAATTCTGTGTTGGGGTAAAAAGAGATCCAATAGCTTGAGATATAATGAGGGGTGTTTCAGCAAGTAAAATATGCTCTTCAGTTATGCTACATAAAGATCTAATTTGTCTGAAGATGTTCTGCAGTACAGAGGAGCAAACAATCAAAAGTTTGATACAAGAAATAGAGGTTTTTGCTTACTTGGCACAGATATTGCACATTTGTGACAAATGTGTGATAGGATAAAATCTTAACCATTACATATCATTGCATTAGCAACTTGATCAATGCATTGTTATGTTAAATGCTGTACTGTCTGTAGGGTTGTAATAACATAAATTGTATTAAATAAAATAAATAGATTGTAATATAAATAAATTCAATGGTGGAACAGTGAGCCAGTGTACTGTTTCTGGAAAGAGGATATACACACAGTATTGATAAACAATAAGCTAAATTCAATGGTGGAACAGTGAGCCAGTGTACTGTTTCTGGAAAGAGGATATACACACAGTATTGATAAACAATAAGCAAGATGGTGCAAGTAAACTTTATGTAAGGTAACAATTTGTGCAATGCAGCCCTATGCATTTACTCAAGAGTAAACACAGGATGGATGGATGGATGGATGGATGGATGGATGGATG